GACATTTACAGTGAAATCACTGGAAAGAAGAAAGGATGAAACTAGTCTGTAGAGTTCTTATGGGTTCTGTTTTTGAACTGTGGATTGGAATGCAGAACAGCTTTTTGGCCAGACAGAAAGAGATTACTTTAACCATGGACTTTGAATGCATAAGTATGTTACTAGGTCAGATCAAGAAAAGTGCGGATGCAGGAACTATCCAGTAGTAAAGAATATATTATTCTGAAAGTTTTCCAGTTAATTAGGTTTTTGGATTAAAGCAAGGTTCTAATGCAGTGGTTCCCAAATTATTGAACACATTCTAGGGTACACAGCTAGGCCCAAGCCAATACCCACAAGGGACGGGGAAGAAGCATCCTCCAGCCTCGCCCCTGACTATGGCCCAGGTGCAGCTTCCCTCCCAGCCCTGATCCCAACATCCATGGTTTAAAAAAGGGAAGAAGGACAATCCAGACCAGTCAGTCTTATCTCAGTCCCTGGAAAAATCATGGAGGGAATCCTCAAGGAATCCATTTTGAAGCACTTGGAAGAGGGAAAATTGATTAGGAATAGTCAACATGGATTCATGAAGGGCAAGTCATGCCCGACCAATCTGATTAGCTTGTATGATGAGGTAACTCTGTGGATATGGGAAAGTCAGTGGATTTGATATACCTTGACTTTAGCAAAGCTTTTGATACGGCCTCCCACAATATTCTTGCCAGCAAGATAAGGTAGTATGAATTGGATAAATGGACTGTAAGATGGATAGACTGTCGGGCCCAACGGGAGCGATCAACGGCTCGATGTCAGGACAACGGTCGGTTTCTAGCGGACTGCCCCAAAGTTCGGTTCTTGGACCAGTTTTGTTCAACATCTTTATTAATGACTTAGATGAGGAGATGGATTGCACCCTCAGCAAGTTTGCAGATGACAGTAAACTAAGGGGAGAGGTAGATATGCTGGAGGGCAGGGATAGGGTCCAGAGTGACCTGGACAGATTATAGGATTGGGCCAAAAGAAATCTGATGAGGTTCAACAAGGGCAAGTGTAGAGTCCTGCACTTGGGATTGAAGAATCCCAAGCATTGATACAGGCTGGGGACTGAATGGCCAAGTAGCAGTTCAGCAGAAAAGGACTTGGGGATTACAGTGGATGAGAAGCTGGATATGAGTCAACAGTGGGCCCTTGTAGCCAAGAAGGCTAATGGCATATTAGGGTGCATTAGGAGGAACATTGCCAGAAGATCCAGAGAAGTGATTATTCCCCTTTATTTGGCTCTGGTGAGGCCACATCTGGAATACTGTGTTCAGTTCTGGGCCCCCCACTATAGAAAGGATGTGGACGCATTAGAGAGGGTCCAGTGGAGGGGGGACGTTCAGCAGAGGGCGACCAAAATGATTAGGGGGCTGGAGCATATGACCTATGTGGAGAGACTGAGATATTTGGGTTTGTTTAGTCTGCAGAAAAGAAGAGTGAGGGGGGATTTGATAGCAGCCTTCAACTTCATGAAGGGAGGTTCCAAAGAGGATGGAAACACGCTATTCACAGTGACAGATGGCAAAACAAGGAGGAATGGTCTCAAGTTACAGTGGGAGAGGTGTAGGTTGGATATTAGGAAAAACTACTTCACTAGGAGGGTGGTGAAGCACTGGAATGGGCTACCTAGGGAGGTGGTGGAATCTCCATCCCTAGAGGTTTTTAAGTCTCGGCTTGACAAAGCCTGGCTAGGTTGATTTAGTTGGGATTGGTCCTGCCTTGGGCAGGGGGCAGGACTTGATGACCTCCTGAGGTCTCCTTCAGCTCTATGATTCTATGGTTCTGCTCCCATCCCCGCTCTGGCTGCAACTCCATGTTGAGCCCCATCCTCACCCCAACATCAATCCTGACTCAGGCCTTGGACCTTGGCTCCCAGCCAGCTAGAGATCCAGCCCCATCACTGATCCCATTACCCTGTCCGTACCACCACTCCCTGATAGGCGCAGCCCTGCTCTTTAGGGGGGACATGAATGGAAGTGGGGGGCATGATGTGTGAAAAGTTTGGAGACCACTATTCTATTGCAAATCTTCCTAACCTATTGTTTCCTATTAAGTTGCTGTTTCCTGCCATAGATCATTGACTGATGAGAAATGGGAAGTTTCAATCTTTTTACAAATCTGAAAAACACATAGGATGTTGGAAGTCTTGGCATAATTCATTGAATGTGTTTTTTGTGCAGATGTTCCCATTGGTGCAACACAGCAGACAGCCTTTTATAATGGCTGCATGGAGGTGAAGGTCAACGGACTACAGCTGGATCTGGATGAAGCCTTCTCCAAACACAATGACATTAGGTCACACTCGTGCCCACTGACTGAGAATGAAGCAAATGAATTATTAAACTAGCATTCTCCCTTCAGATATCATTTGTGTAATTAGGCTCCCATATTATGTTACTCAGAATGTTGTGACAGAGGAGTTAAACTGGAATGTTTTCATCCCTTGTACGTAGTGTGGAAAGATAAAATAAACCTCAGTTTTTTTCAGTGATGAAAAGGACACGATGAAGAATAAAATTTTGTAAATATGTTCTGATCCACATCAGTGATCATATCTTTAAACTAAATTTAAAAGATTTCTTTTGGGTGGAACCATCTTTTCCCCCCCAATCATTGAGGCTGTTCCCTTTTTGTATTTTATTCAACTTGGAGAGTCAAATCAGGCAAGTCCAGCTGTCGCTTACGGTTCTGATGTTTTAGCACAAAGCTGTTGTGTTTGGGTTGCAAGTGCTACCGGCATGTTTGAATCTAAATAAAATGATTTTCATTTCACTTTCTAACAAGATATTAAAAAAAAAAACATTAGCAGGTTTTGGAAAATGTGTTTAAGTATAAAGCTATGAACTCAAAATCAGTGTCGTTATACTTCTGAATCATGGCATTATTTTGAGGAGCACCATCCAAACCCAAGCTTTTAGTAAATATCACATCTTTTCTTTAAAAGAAAGAACTCTGTAAAGCGGTTTTGCAATCCTTATAATGTAATGGACCAACTTTTCAACTTGAAACCTCCTTTTATAGTACATTTTAACTCATGCTACATACTTTGACAGAACATATCAAAATGACAGAAAATTATATTTGCTTGCTCCTTGGAACCAACTACCTTAGGATTAACATTAATTCTTTCCATGTTTTTCATCAAGGAATCTCAGCATAGTATTTCACACTTCAAGGCTGTCTGATTGTTCAATTCAGAGCTCCATTAAAAGGGACACACTTCCACATTTATATTAATTCAGTACTGTGCTATTATCAGAAAGCAAATGCCACGAGGTTTATGTGAGTGAGTTGCACAGATGAATCAGCATCAGTAAGAGCTCCAGGACACCAAATTGGAATTTATCAAATAAAGCGAAGGTCTTCTCTGACAATCAGACTGCCTCATTCATAAGGAATCTCACATTCCAGAGTTTCCTAATCATTCCGTCATACCTAAAACTGTCAAGTAAATTCTCTCTTCGGACTAATCCTTCACAACTGGAGATAAAATCCCTTTCCATTCTGTGGGTCTATAGACAGAGGGATGTGACCTGCATTTGAAAGCCATATTTCAGCTGGAGTAGTTTATATACAGGAAGCCCCAAATTTTACCGCCATGTCACATTTAAAGCAATATCCTCTCTTAGCTAGATTAACAAGGAAAGTGGATTAGGACAAGACTAAATGAGTTTTCGGGGAAGTATCCAGAGACGGCATTTTAAAGAGACAGTTGACATGGAGCCCGGGGTCAACTGGGGACTCCCTAGTTGACCCTAGGCTCCTAGCAGCGTGCAGCTTTGAAATGCCTGGCTGAGGACTTCTATGCATTTCAAGGCAGCAGGCATGCTGTGTGCAGCCCGGCATCGGTGGGACTTCCCACTGGGGCTGTATGTGAAGTTCCGCATTGCTCCTTTGAAATGTACAAGAGCCCCAGCTCTTTTTTTTTGTTTTGTAAACCTAGAGAGAGAAAGGAAATAGTTAAGTCACACAAAATCACACAGGTTTCTAATAGGGACTCTATCTGTATTTTGTTTCCTGTATGGATATTTTAGCATATTCTAATCTTATTTAAAACCTTGTGTTGGATTTTTGAATGTATAAGTAAGTGCCTCCATGTTTTAAACATGCGTAAGAAGAATCCATAACTTTCATTTTAAAGTGTATTTTCATATCTTTGATTCATTTAAACTGTATTCACCTTGTTCTGGTGATCAAAGATCTTCCGTAAGAGTTGATGGTAATCTTCAGTATAAAAAAATTAAATAACTCAAAGCTCATTTGCTGTTCAAATATGAATTGATATTCCCTAGATTAATGGTGGGATTTGTTAATGATTTAATATTTGCCAGTATCAACTAAAGTTTGGGTTGATGCTACATGCAAGAAGGAAGATTAATGAGAGAAATCAGCTTCTGCATTTTCATATTTTGCATACATTATTTTGCTGCAAATGAAATCCTGATGTGGAATCTTAATTTTCATTTACACTAAGGCCCTTTAATACCTACGTATTCAATCATTTTAAACCTCCTTTGTACTCCAGAGTAGTATACATTGACCTTAGAATGACTAAGATTCAAGCATATTTAATTTTATCTCAAAGATTGCAATCATCAAGGAAACAAAGACAGATTTAAACAATAATACAAAACTGTATTATTTTGTATTTTCTTCAGGTACCCCAGTCCAGACAAATGGGACAATTTACATGCTTAAAATTAAGCATATTCTGAACTGGGGCTGAATAATTTTATTAACTTCAGTGCATTTTTACTGAAATAGAGCAGAATTAGGATCATGCAGAAAAAAACTTTTACAAAATTAAGTTCTCTGACTAACCAGAAAAAAATTAACACTGTACCTCAAAAATCATAAAGCAGATATCAATATTCAGAATTTTCAACTGCTTGATGTAGGTGACCACTTTAGCTGTTTAGAACAAAATTTGGACATTCCAGGCACCAATTTTACATTGTCTGTCCACACATGGATACCAGAATGGCCCTTTCCCAAGGTTTCATTGGTAATTTTATCCTGACAAAGTGAGGTCAGTAAGGAATGCTATACACAGCCAGTGATAGTGGAGTCAGGAGAAGCATTGGGAGAGACATGAAGTTTGCCAATAATGGACAGAAACTGAATATCCAGGCAAACCACTTTAAAGATCTAATTAAGGGAGATTGATTTAGAAGGTCTGCCACTGATTGCACTGTGTGTGGACCCGGATACTCCACTATGTATCTCCATGACTCTCCACTGTAGACACACCATGGTAACTCAATCATTAAACTAGCTTTGCTATTGACTTAGCTGGAGCTGTGTACCTTAGTTCAACATTGCCCCCTAGTGTAGACCTGGCCTTAGATTTCTATACCATCTTTCTTTACACAGGATATCATTTACAAAACTGCACAGCAGTACTTCATTAAAAAAGAAAGTGAGTTATGGCTCTCTAAGGTCTGATCTGCTAATACATTCTTTCCCAAGGGATCTGAACAAACTAATCAAGCAGGTGAGGATAAGTAACAAATGTCTAGGATTATATAGCATATGTCCATGGAGTCACATAAACACATCTTACCCACACAGTATTTGCTGGCTATTAACAGATGCCAAGAGGGAAAAGACAGTTTCTCCTCTGTAACAGGTCAGATACATGTCACCTATTTAGGAATTAAATTTAGCCATATGAGCAAAAATTCACCAAATGAAAACACTCCTGGAAAATTTTAACTTCTAACATCACTAACACTCTTACTCATAGTACAACTAATCATCCCACACTACAAACCTTCCCAGACTTTCTCAAAGTCAACACACTGCTTTTATATCAGTCTCATCAAACACTTTGATATCAAAGGGAACTCAAAGATAGACAGCCAGCACAATTCCATCGGGACTAGCTGAAATGCTTTCTAAAAAAAATATAGCCTTCTGGGTTTAATGAGTAATTTCTACTGATTCCCCTCCCCACAACATTAAAATATTCTTTAAAATGTGCAACTTACATTCTCCCTCCCCCCTCCATTTATTGATTTGGTGCTTCCTCCTGCGTCTCCAGTGTGGATTGCACAATAAGCACTATTGTTTGTTTGGCCTAGAGCAGTGTTTCCCAATTTTATTTGGCCAAGGAACCCTTTTCAGCTTTTCAGAATTTCAAGGAACCCCTAGGTTTGTCAAGCAAAAAAAAAGGGGGGGGGGAATCACATTTCTTCCCCAAGTGAGGCCTCATTTGCTCTGTTCCCCTCCTCTCCATCACTTGCTATCCCCTGCCCCTATACACTCTCACTAGGTTGAGACAGGAGGTGTGGGGTGGGAATGAGGGATTTGGGTGTGGGAAGGGATGAGAAGTAAAAGCTCTGGGAGGGGATTTGGATGCAGGAGAAGGGGATGTTGGCTTGGGGAGGGGGCTCCAGGCTCGGGAGTGTTGGGCTCAAGGGGAAGGTTGGGGTGCTGAGCAAGCCATGGGCTTGTGGATGTGAGGGTGCAGGAGTTTGGGCTGGATATGTGAGGGACCCAGGGCAAGAAGGTTGTGATTATGATGGGCTCAGGACACAGATTTGTGATGTGTGGATGATGCAGGAGTGTTGTGGCAGAAGACTGACTATGTGGGGATGCAGGAGTTTGAGGATGTAAGAGGCTTGGGACAGGGGGTTCCAGGGTATGATAGGCTCAGATTTGGGGTCAGGTGGTGTAGGAGTGTTATGATGCTGCAGTGAGATGGGGGTTTGAACCCAACTGGGGGCTTGTTGGCCAGGCTTCATTTTTAAATAAAATATTATGTCAAACTCAAAGGGTTTTAGCATTGTCTTTATTTATGAGAGTGGTGAGGAAACCTGTTTTGAGTCAAGGGTCACTGACCCACAGAAAAGTCAGTTGGGGCCACACAAGTGAGATGCAAAAAAAACCCAACAACCCTCCAAAAATCCCCAACCCTCACTGATGTGGTCCCAAATGTGTTGGTGGGGGTAGGGGACAGAGTGAAAGTGAGTTCTGGGGCTGGGGAGAGGGTGCTGCTGGAAGGATGCTGGCTCAGGTGGCAGGGTGCTGGGGCAGGCAGGTGGGAGGGTGCTGGGGTCAAGGACATGATCCTGCTGGGCACTAGGGTGACTGGCAGGGTCCTGAGGCCAGGGACAGGGAGGGGACTTGGGTAGGAGTTGAACCTCCCTGATCTGGCACCCTCTGGACCTCTCCTGGTCCCAGATGAGGGATTTTTAGACCAGGGGAGGTAATTTCAGGGCTCCGGGTTCCCCCCCTCACTAGGCTTCTTTGCACCTCTATCCCCTGCAACCCAACTCCACTCACCCCTGCTGGTTCCCTGCACCTCCCCCAAAACCATGCCCCACAACCCAAGGGAGTGCAGCACCAGTTCCCTGCAGCCCCTCACAGCCCAGCTGAGCTGCCCGTCTGTTCTGTGTGCCCTCCCCCATCCACCTCAGCCCAGCAGAGCCCTGCACTGGTTCCCTGCATGCCTCCCCCACAGCACAGCTGAGCCCTGTTTCCCTTCACCTCTCTCCCAAGCCCCGCAAAACTGCTGAGCCAAGTGCCGATTCCCTGCCCCTCCCTTCCTCCTTGAGTCTAGCCCCGGTTCCCAGTACCTTCCTCCTCCTGCAGCCAAACTGAGCTCTGAGCGCCACACCCCCAGCCCAGCCCAGCCCCCCGGACCTCCCCACTCTGCAACCCAGCTCAATTTCCCTGCACCTTCCCCCAACCATGCAGACATGCTGAGCCAGCGCTGATTCCCCACCCCTGCCTCCGTCCTGACCTCCCCTTGCATCTACACTGGCACGATCTTGCGCCAAAGCGGCCGCTCTTGTG